GCCATTGCAGGATGTGCTTTCCCAGGAACGGGCCTGGCTTTGTCCCAGCCTGTGCCACCTCCTGCCACGCTCCTGTCGCTCAGAACCCGGCTGTGCTGCGGCACCAGTGTCCATCACCAGGGGCTGCAGCCCACTCCGGATAAATTTCCAGGCAGCCCAATTTTGGAGGCTCCTCGGACACCCTCCGTCACCACATCAGAGAACCGTGGCTTGCAGCAGGGATGCGGCTGCAGCAGCAGGGATGCCCTGTCCCTCTGCTCCCCACTCTCAGCACCCTTTGCACCTGAAGAGCAAACAGTAAGTCTGTGCAATCGGTTATTCTGCCTCCCAAAAAGGCACCCCAGAACATCCCACTCCAGGCTGTGGTGTCCCTCCTCCTCCCCCAGTGAGCTCTTTCCTCTCCGGTGGCCACCAAGGTTTGTGGGGTCCTCCATGGAAAAGCCTTTTTCCTTCCTGAAATTTAATAGCAAACGTGCTACAAGACATCCCTAATTTTTCATAAGCAATATAAAATAGAACTGCTCGTTTGAAGTGCTCCGTGGCAGGACCATGCTGCCTTGGCTGCCTAAGCATCTCTCTCTCTTACAGGAAGGTTGCTGCCTCCGCCCATGGCTTCAGAAGAGGCTGCTGACCTGGGAGTGCAGCCCATCACCCCCACAGATCCCACTGCCCCCTCTGTCCCCACCCTTACCACAACTCCTGCAGCCCCCACAGACCCCACTGCCCCCTCTGTCCCCACCCTTACCACAACTCCTGCAGCCCCCACAGACCCCATTGCCCCCTCTGTCCCCACCCCTGCAGCCCCCACAGCCCCCACCAGTTGCAAGAAGAGCCGGAAGAAAAAGAAGGAGAAGGCTGAGGCCAAGGAAGTTGCCCAGGAGGGAGGGGACGAGATGGCAGGGCGGGTGGCTGCGATYGAGGGTCTCACACGAGCCGGGCAGCAGGCACTGGCCCTGGGTGCCAGGCGGGAGGCAGTGGGGTGTTTCAGGAAGGCTCTGCTGCTCTCTGAGGACACAGTGAGTCCCCAGCTCCACAGGGCTTGTGCCTTCAACCTGGGGGCTGCCTATGTGGAGACTGGYAAGCCCAAAAAGGCCCTTGAGTTCCTCCTCCAGTGCCAGTCCTCAGAGGCAGAGAGCGGGGAGCACTTGGGAAGCCTTCATTTCAACGCCGGGGCGGCTCATGAAGGGCTKGAGGATTTTCCAAAGGTTCTGGAGTGTTCTGACAGAGTCACCAGCCATGACAGCGCTGAGCAGGCTGGCAGCAGAGCAGAGACCAGCGTGCAGATGGGCTGCTGCTACCTGGGGATGCGGGACCCGGCTCGAGCCGCGCGCTGTTTCCTGGATGCAGCACAGGCCTATGTGGCTACAGAGAGCCATGAGGCTGCAGCCGTGGCTCTGAGCAGGGCCAGCAGCTCCATGCTGCAGAGCCGGYGCTTTCGGGAGGCAGAGATCGCCGGGGTTCTTGCCCAGTGCCGCTCGCTCTGTGAGAGCATTCCCAACTCGGCTCTGCAAGGTAACGCTGTGCTGCACCCTCCTCTCTCAGGGCTCTGGGGAGCAGCTCCCACCTGTGCTTTCCTCTTTGCCTCCAGGGAAACTCTACAACGACATCGGCCTTGGTTATTCCCAGCTCCACATCTTCTCGCTGGCTGTGGAGAGCTTTGAGCAGGCCCTGGGGCTTTGTGGCGGGGAGTCGGAGCAGGATCAGCACCAGGAGGCTGCGCTGCTGCAGAATTTGGGTGCTGCTCACAACGCCCTGCGCAGCTTCGGCACGGCGCTGGGCTGGCACCGGCGAGCAGCCGCGCTGCACGGTAGGACACATCACTACCCCTGGCTCTTGGCTTTGCCACGTGTGCCAGCTGGGGATGGAGCCATGCTCCCAATTCCAGGTGCTCTGGGGAACCGCTGGGCGCAGGGGCAGTGCTTTGGGAACCTGGCRTACGCCTGCAGCCAGCTCGGGAACCACAGGGCTGCCGCGGAGAACTACCTGCACGCCCTGCAAGCCTTCCAGGATTCGGGTGAGGAGAGGCACGGGCACCCTGGGGAGAATCTGCAGCAGCCGGGTGATGCTGCATGCCTGTGATCTCAGCTGTGCTGGGACCAATGCAGCCCTTTGCTTGCCAGGAGACTTGGAGGGGCAGTGGCAAGCGTGCGAGGGGCTGGGCACAGCGTGCTTCCACCTGGGAGACCCCCAGAGAGCCATCGGGCACTATCAGGAGGCTCTGATTCTGCTTTCCCGSTGTCAGGTAAGGAATGATGGGACCCTCCCTGCATCACAAGGCACTGGCCCCAGCCCTGGCACGGACCCACTCAGCCCATCATACACATGAGCTCTCTCCACCACAGGACACCCCCAGAGCTGCCCACAAACGGGTTGTGCACAAGCTCACGGATGCCATCCAGCACCGGCTGCGCCTCAGCCACCTCTCCTTCCAGAGGGGCTGGGCTCCCACCCCAGCCCTGGTGAGCATCACCCGGGGCATGGGACACTCTGTGGGGCTGGGATCCCAATGAGAGTTGTGGCAAGAGGTGCCYGAGTTTGCTGGGCAGAGGGATACACGTGTTAATCCCATCAGGAGGCCAGCCAGCTGCGGTTTGGCTCCACGCTGCCCTGTGCCAGTGGGACACGGCTCCAGGAGAGTGAAGTGTGAGTAGGAAAGCTCCATCCTCTCTCTCTCCTTCCTCTGGAAAGGGTTTCCAGCATCATGAGGGAGACAAACCTGCCTTCCTTCACTCCCTGTCCTTCAGGGGGAAAGCCCAGGCTGGGGACAAGCTGTACATGTGTGTGCCAGGAGCTCATCCCAGGCGTTCAGGTGAGAGGGTATGAACTAACCATGGGATTGAGCCATCCAGGCAATTCCTGACGGAGCTGGGGCTTTGGCACAGTCTGATATGGTATTCTTGCCTGCTTTGTCCTTCCTGGAGGCACAGGAGTGGCCCTGACTGGTGGTCTCACACTGGAGCCCTGCAACCCACACGGCCTCCTGGGCACCTCTGGGGAGGATGAGGATGGTCCCAGCTCAGCTCCAGGGTATCACAGTGAGCCCCAGGCTAGCAGGGCGGTGGGCGAGTGGGAGGCACTCAACACAGCCCCTGCAGCACCAGAAATTTCTGGTTATTGGCGAAAATCTAGAGATATTGAAAGATACATAATTCTGGGGGTGCGTTTTGGGTAATTCCAGCTGGATCCTGGGGGARGGTTCAGTCACGGTGTGATAGGGGACAGTTTGTCAGAGATGCTTTCCACAACCCCCATATGAGGGTCACTTCTCTCCCAGTAAGAGGACCACCAGSCCCCTGCACTCGGCCAAGCTGCCCCATGCCAGCCTCCAGCTACGAAAGCAAAAAACACAACCAGAGCGTCRCTTCCCCGGTGAGCCCAGAMCTGTGGGRCTCACACCACATTCCACAGGGAATYGTGACCGCCAAACCCTCCGGCCAAGGCCTCCAGAGCGGTAGGTGATGCCTTGGGGGARTGGGCAAAGGAGGTTTGGGCTCTTCTGAGGGGAGGATTTGTGGGTGGAGACCCCAGCAGRGCTTGGGACACCTTTGTGTCTTGCAATGGACACGGGCCCAAGCCAGAAGTGACAGGGGCTGAGAATTTTGGCATCTTGTAGCCAACCCCAAAATAATGCCCTATGGATGGGGCAGCAGATCTAAGGGTGGTTTCCAGCACCCCMGTATGAACCTCCTGCCCACTCCTGCCTTCCAGTTCTTAAAGGGATTCTAAGAGAGATTGAAAGGGACTTTGGACAAGGGACTGGAATGACAGGATAAGGAGCAATGGCTTGTGTGGGGCAGGATTAGATGGGATATTGGGAAGGAATCCTTGGCTGTGAGGGTGTTGAGGCCCTGGTACAGGGTGCCCAGAGAAGCTGTGGCTGCCCCATCCCTGGAAGTGTCCAAGGCCAGTCTGGATGGAGCTTGCAGCAACCTGGTCTAGTGTAAACTGTCCCTGCCCATGGGAAAAACAGTCTGTGATTCCATAATTCAATAATTCCATTTTGCATCCTGCTGGACACCCTCACTCCCCATGGATTCCATGACCTCGCAGCCCTGACGATGACCCTGCTGCCACTGCCGCCGGCTGCTGGCCCCACCGGGGACCTCGCACGGGGACCAGGACTCTGTCCCTCGTCTGCAGCCTCGTGTGACCGGGAGAACACCGGGAAGGCACCGCTTCTCGGGGGGCCTGTGCAGACCCAAACCGGGACGGGCGGGGGGGGTTCAGGCCCAAACCGGAGAGGGGGCCCGCGGACCCAACACGGTTTTGACCCCGCTCCGTTTCCGCCATCCTTTGCCTGTCGGGATGCCGGGGGAGGGATGAAAAGATCGCGGGGACGCTGCGGGGCCGGCACGGACCGGGAGCACCGAGCGGCTCCGCCCCGGCCCCGCCGCGCCGTGAAAGCCGCTCCGCCCCGGGGTGGGACCGCGCCTGCTCCGCGGAGCTCCGGGAGGGGCCGTACCGGGTTATACCGAGTGGTACCGGGTTATACCGGGCCCGCCGCATGCCGGGACCCCGCACGCTGCTGGGGCTGGGGCTGCTGGTGGCGGCGGCGCGGGCGGGCGGGCGGTGCCGAGCCCGGAGCTGGGGCTGGGAGCGGGGCTGGGACCGGGAGCGGTGCTGCTGCCTCCCCCGCCGCGCCATGCACGTCCCCAGCGCGGGGACCGGCCCGACGGGGCTCCGCTTCCTGGGGTAGGGCCGGGGTGAAGGGTTGGGCGGGATGGGATACGGGCGGGCTGAGGGGTGCAAAGGGGTCGGGCAGGACATGGGGAGAGGGCTGAGGGTGCAAAGAGGTCGGGCAGGACATGGGGAGGGGGCACAGGGTGCAGAGGGGTCGGGCAGGACATGGGGAGGGGGCTGAGGGATGCAGACAGGACATGGGGAGGGGGCTCAAGGGCACAGGCAGGACTTGGGGAGGGGGCTCAGGGGTGCAGGCAGGACATGGGGAAGGGGCTCGGGTGCAGACAGGACTTGGGGAGGGGGCTCAGGGGTGCAGAGGGACAGGCAGGACATGGGGTTGTAGTGCAGCTGTACACGGGGGCTCAGCTGGACCCTGTGTGTCCACGCTCGGCTCATGCAAAGTCAAAGGGATCACAGCAGCCCCCAGGCTAGGCCTGGCTGGGTTTTGGGGTACCCAGGGGTGCCATCTCCCACCCCAGGCAGGAGGAGGCCCAGGCCATCGACCAGGAGCTCTTCACTGAGTACCAGTTCAGCGTGGATCAGCTGATGGAGCTTGCAGGGCTGAGCTGTGCCACTGCCATCGCCAAGGTGGGGGTCCTGGGGGGCAGCAGGGGGTCCTGSCTCTGTGGGATGAGTTGTACCCCACTGACAGCAGCAAGGTGGTGGTCCAGGGGTGCTAGCTTTGTGTACCAAGCTGTGCCACCACCAAGGTGGACATTGGGGATGCAGGTGGTAATCCTGGGAATGGTCCCATGGGCAGAGCTGTGCCAGTCCCAGGGTGGGGGATCTGGGAGAGTCCTGGTTCCAAGGTGTGTGTCTGCTTTCCCATGGTAACCCTGTGCCTCCTGCTCCCCATCAGGCCTACCCACCCAGCTCCTTCACCACGAGCCAGCCTGCTGTACTGGTGATCTGTGGGCCAGGGAATAACGGCGGCGATGGGCTGGTCTGCGCCCGGCACCTGAAGATGTTTGTGAGTCCTGAATATGCAGCTGCAGGGTCTCTGTGAGGGTGTGGATCCCTGTGCACCCCTGTACCTGTGGCTGCAGGGTCCCACTCTGGCTGCTGCTGGTGCCAGAGTGGGATTAYTTCATGTCCCTTCTGCTCTCGCAGGGCTACCAGCCAACCGTGTATTATCCCAAGCGCCCCAGCAAGCCCCTCTTTGAAGGTTTGACCACCCAGTGCAAGAAGATGGATATTCCCTTTCTCCCCGAGTTCCCAGCTGAGGTGAGGAGCARCCCCCAGCTTGGGAGCACCCACCCCTGGAGCCGTGGCTGGAGCTGCCCTTCACCTGCTGCCATCCCTGCCGCAGGCGGCGTTCATYGATGAGCTCTACGGCCTGGTGGTGGATGCAATCTTTGGATTCAGCTTCAAGGGAGCGGTGCGGGAGCCCTTTGGCAGCATCCTCAGCACCCTGGAGCACATCACAGTGCCCATTGCCAGCATCGACATCCCCTCGGGTGAGTAACAGCTGTGCCCACCGGAGGAAGGTGCCCAGCTGGGTTGGTTCTGGCTCCAGCCCGGCTGTGGGGCTCTTTGCAGGCTGGGATGTGGAGAAGGGGAAGGCAGACGGCCTCCAGCCCGACATGCTCATCTCCCTCACGGCGCCCAAGAAGGCAGCGATGCATTTTATCGGCCGCTACCACTTCCTCGGGGGCAGGTTTGTGCCCCCTGCGCTCCAGGAGAAATATGCTCTGAACCTGCCGGCGTACCCCGGCACAGACTGCGTCCTGCAGCTGACCTAGAGCTGGGGCCAGAGGGGCTGGGGGGCACAGGTTTGGCTTCAGTACTGCACACTGGGGMAAATTCTGCCCCAGCCTCTGCTAGGAAGGTACTCAGCACCTCTCTGGGCTTCAGTGTGACACAGCAGGATCAAAGGTCACTGCAGAGGGAAGGCCCAGGAGGGGAGCAGTGAGGGGCTGCAGGGGGGATCTCTGTCTGCTGCAGTTTGGGGTTGCTGTCTAATCCAATGGCTACAAGGTGATCTGGGATCCTGGGCTCTGCCACTCATCATGGCACMACTCACATGTCAGGATAGTCTGAGCAATAAAGATTTATTCATGCCCTTGAAAAAGTATTTCAGTACTCTGCAGGGTCTGTSCTTGTGTCCCTCTGTGACAAGTCCATGGCAAATGGGTCTCCACCCCAGGGCAACCACAGTCACCCCTGAAGGTTCAGGGGGTGAAGTAAAGCTTGATTTAGTTCCAGACCAACCTGTCCTAGCCCAGCATCCCCAGGCAGCTGGGCCACAGTGCTGAGCTCCATCTGGGACGAGCTCAGAGCAACCCTGGGCCCCCACCCAGGATCASGACCCTCAGAGGCAGGTGGGACCAGCAGCTGCACAGCACAGCAGCCAYGGCACTTGCTCATTCTGGCTCCCTCTTCTTCTTCTTCTTCTTTCTCTTCTTTATAGGGCTGTGTCCCAAATTTGGCCCATCTGTGTCTTCTATAGGTACATCTGTCTCAGCCACCTCTTCTTTGTCCTCTTCCTGCTGCTTCCTCTTCTTTCTGTTTGCAGCTTTCCCCTCCTCTTCTACCACCTCCTCTTCTGTGCTTGGCTCTAGCTTTTTCTTCTTCTTCCTCTTCTTCTTGACCTTCTCCTCTCCTGATATCTCTTCTTCTTCACATGGCTCTGTGACTTTCTTCTTCTTCTTCTTTTTCTTCCTCCTTACAACCTCTTCCTCACCTGTTAGCTCTTCTTCTCTGCTTGGCCCCTGGTTCTTCCTCTTCACCTTTTCTTCTTCCAGCACCTCCTCCTGTTCTTCATCTGGCACCTCAGGGTCAGCTCTATGCCTGGACTGTTTCCTTTTCTTCTTTTTGCTCTGGCTGCTGTCCAGGGGCTCCTGCTGYTGCTCYCYRTACCGGTAYGAGGCCAGGAAGGCTCTCTCCTGCTCCTCCAGGCGTGCCAGCTTGGCGCTCATGGTCAGGCCGTGACGGGCACCCCTGCAATGACCACGGGCAGTGAGGACTGGAATCTCCMCAGCAAGGAAAGTGTCCCCCAGCACAGCCTGCTCAACAGCCCCTGCAAGGAGCAGGCAGTCCAGCCATGCAACCCCCCAGCCACTCACTTGTGTGCTGTGCGTCCCCCACATGCCTGCACCAGCTCCTCGTCAGTCAGCCTGTGGGACACAGACAGGACATGTCACCCCCAGCATCCATGTGGGGAGAACACAGTTTGGACCAGGGCTCCCTTGTCCCAGGCAGCCCTTGTCCCTTCCCTGCCTCACCTCCTGGCTGAAGAGAGGTCCAGCTTTTCCTCCTCGTCGCTGCTCTCAGAGCTGGCAGGCTGTGTCACAGACTCCTCCCCACAGGCTGTGAGCGTGGCTGACTGCAGCACAGAAACAAAGGGGCTGTAAGAAAGGGGAACAAGAAAAATGGGGCTCTGGGGGCCACAGAGCCCCCAGGCTCCTGGAGGCTGCTTACCTTCACAAAGCGGCCATACAGCAGGCTCCCRCTCTTGCCAGCTTTGCGTGGCTTCTTATTGCTGATCCCACCTCCCTGCTCAGAAACTGCCTTCACAGAGATGCCATCCTGGGGGAGAAAAATCAAAGCGTTTGGGAATGATTTGTCCAAGGGGCTTCACCCCTCCAGCAGCACCTCTCTGCCACCACAGTCCCTGTGCTTGCTGACAGGGGCTGGGGGGACACAGTGGCAGTACAGGAGCCACCAGTGGGACCCCAACACCCTCCCCTGCTTTCAACCCCATTGTACCCTCCGATTATCCCACCTGCCCGGCCTCCACAGCGATGTTGGCAGCCGCCTTGTTGAAGACGTGGTCCCACCAGTGGAAGGTGAAAGGCTCCGCCGCGTCGTGTCCCACCTGCGGGGTGCAGAGGAGCCGCCGGAATGGCCGCGCTGGGCAGCGGGCGCTGGGCCGGGGCCGSGCCGGGGGCCGCACTCACCCCCGCCGTGTCGCACTTCACCTTCACCCGAATGGCCTCGGCGATGCCGTCCTCCCGCCGGCCCAGCCCCTGCCCTGCCGACAAAGCACCGTCACCTCCTGAACGGCCGGGGGGCACCGGGGGATGGGGAAGAGGGCGGGGGGACCCGGGCTC